TGTGTGTGTGTGTGTGTGTGTGTGTGTGTGTGTGTGTGTGTGTGTGTGTGTGTGTGTGTGTGTGTGTGTGTGTGTGGTGTGTAATATATATATATATATATATATATATATATATATATATATATATATACATATATGATATATTTACATATCAATTAATGAATATCATTTTGTCGTTGCTCTTCCTGTGCAATGCATTCTGTTTTGAGGATAAAATAATAAGAACTTATTAAATCAAAATATCATAAAAAAGATAGAAACTGAAAGAAAGTAAGATATATTATATTTCGTAAAAAAATTTCATTTCATTGAAATATGATTGCCTCTCGTCGACAAATTATTAAATCTTTAAAACAAAGGATACAAGTTAAAAATTGAGATGAAGAGAAATAGTTTTAATTTGTTAAAATATCTTTAATACTAAAATGCTTGAAATCTATTTTTTTATACCAGAAAGATAATCGGTAAGATTTGCTATGTTATTATTTTACTATGATTAAGCGTAACGTAAATATCGATACCAATGGCGATAACAATAGCAATCAAATATAATCAGAGCATGGATTTAATACTCAGTCAAGTTAAACTTGTCAACTATCAAAGTTGTTCGCACATATATAACAATGAAATTTTTTAAAATTATTATATCATTAAATAACATTTTTATATATAACAAATATATTAAAAAATTAATATACCTCTTAAATTTCATATAAAATATTAAATGTTACAACTCTTTTGCATGCTTTAAATCTGCAATATAATATTCACAAAAGCGAAGTTGACCATAGTTTAAATGAAATAATGTTAATATTTTATTGGCCTTGTGTTTAAAATATTTTTATTCCAAGAACTAATTGAACTTGTTGATGAAGTAATTTAATAATTTTTATTTATATCATATTATAATGTACCGTTTCATATTAACCGCCAAGAGAGATTTAAGGTTGGCTGAAAGAGTGCTCAATGCTCTAGTCCATATATGTAATCATGGCACTTGCCGTTTATTAAAAACAAATTCGATAGTAATCGTATAATTACAAACAATAATAATGACAGTATAATTATATAAAATATGCTCGGTCTAGCATTTTTCATAACGCGCTTGTAGAATCAGTCTTAACCCTCGGATTACCAAACACCGCTCGCGAAATGCATTAGCTCCCTTTCTTCGACTTCTATCCTTATTCCCTTTTCAATCCCGCGATTTTCTAGTCAGAAAAATAAATATATTCGAAGGTACATACCGTTTTCTCTTTGCGTCTGAGAAAATTTAAAACATGACCGATAACCCGAGGGCTAATTAAACTATGAGACGTGCTATAGAGGTATGTTACAGTGATGCAGGGGTTTCGTTTACGCAATCGAAAAATTGACTCTTACATCCTCAAAAACAAAAACATCGACCGACGACGTTCCGGCGCTTCCACTTTCGAGGATTTTCCGTTTCTGGTTTGTCCCACGCGCCTCAAGGTTCCCGCACTTAGATTTACATATGTATATATGTATGTATGTATGTATGTATGTATGTATGTATGTATGTATGTATGTATGTATGTATGTATGTATGTATGTATGTATGTATGTATGTATGTATGTATGTATGTATGTATGTATGTATGTATGTATGTATGTATGTATAGTTA